GAAGGAAGGAAGGAAGGAAGGAAGGAAGGAAGGAAGGAAGGAAGGAAGGAAGATTGTAGGGAAAGAGATATATGAGTAAGTACACACAGGAAATACACCACTCAATTAAAATGCATGGACCATATCTTAATCCTGATTTGAACTAATACTTAAAATAGATGTAAAAGAAAACTTGAACATCTACGGGACAATGTTGACCATTGCAAGGAATCAAGAAATATTTTTCTTTGAGGAACTAAACCTAATAATGTTTCTATCAAAAATCATTTTAACTGTCAGTGACATCAACATTTCAAGGCTGTAAATCAGCAGTGATATGCTCTCTCCATTAGAATCTGATGATCAGGGTGCTATCTCAGTGGTGCAGTACTTGCCTGGCAGGTCTAAGGCCATGAGTTCGAGCCTCGCCAAGCATACACAAAGACAAAAATGAGAACTTGCTGATAAAATCTGGAAGCAAAAGTGAATGAAATGAAACAGCTTTACAACAAAAGTTAACTTAAAGAAGACCCCTCGCTCCTCACTCCTTTCGGTATGCAACTATGTGTGCACACAACAGCACCCATTCTAGCCACGAAAGAAGAAAATACTGCAGTCTTTGGGGAAGACCCATCCAGCACACATCCAGCAGATGCAGCCTTACATGTCGGGCATGAGCGCCTGCCATTTAAACACTTTCGGTACACAGTACTTGTAAGAGGCTTGCAAAGATCACGTAGCTGATCTGCCATTACTCCAAGTTTACTATGTATTGTAAGATAAAGCAAATGATTAATTGCAATGCTGTTCCTGGGATCTTTGATTGGCAGCCTACCATAAAGAAGACATGGACGTTAGACATGCATGCTAAGATAAAAGCCTGGTGGGCCTGAATTAGAATGGAAAGGCTCAGTTCATGACGATCTTATAAACAATGCACACAGCATATATTGTTTATAGTTTAGCTCTGCCCACTCTAAAGGCCGAGAAACAAAGATCCAACCTTGTAATAATGAACGCCACACTACCATGATTTATATTCTTTTAACAACTAGAGGAATCAAGGCTCCTTGGAGAATGTCTGACTACAAGTTCACAGGAGGATATGGATAAGGGCTGAAGAACCTACAATCCGAGGAAAGAGGGAAGCTCTCCATGACCTCTCGTGCATCAAGAGCAGGCAAAGCCAATTTGAAGACATTCAGAGCAGGCATCATACTTTAGAATAAATAGATTACAAATGTTCAGATACACTTAACTGCTAGTCAGTGTGTAAATATTAGAAGTTATGGACATGTGGGTCACTTCAGAGGATGCCAAGCAAGAAACTAATGCATCAGAACCAATCAGTCTTTTGTCTGATGGTAACCAAGTGAGGGCAAATCTCTCTCTACAGAGTACACCAGCAATCAAAAGATAAAACACCACCGTTTTGCAACTAATAAACTCCTGCCTCTAGACAGTTATCACTAGTGGTTTCTACCACAAAGAGAGAAAGCTCTCAGATATTCTTACAAGTATTCAGTATACATTAAGTATAATCATGTGATTACAAGTATCACAAGATGCTCATAGCAAGGAAATAAATAGTAATTGGATCTGAATCCAGTCAATCTCAATACATAAAAACCAATGTCAAAGAAATAGCACGGGGAGAAGTTAATAAAACAAACTACATGGTAGAAAACCCAGGTGGCTAAGTTTCTTCAGTGAGGACTGGTGTAGGGAAAGAGTTATATGGGTAAGTACAGACAGGAAACACACCACTCAGTTATAATGCATGGACCATATGTTAACCTTGATTTGAACTAATACTTAAAATAGATGTACAAGTTTCCTTGTACAACAGGACAATGTTGACCATTGCAAGCTAAGGATACACACAGTGGTGTGGAGGAAGTGTTTGTATTTCCACATAGGGTGTGGAGTCTTTCATTGGTCTTTTAAAAATACACAGTAAAACATTTAAAGATGGAATAGAGAGAAGTCTGAGGTTCCCTTCAAAATAATACCTGGGGAAGGAGAAAGTGTGTGCGATTCAGCTGGACTAACATGGGTCATAAGTTAGCAATTCCTCAAGCTGAGGCCTGGCTCTACAGAGACTATGAGACCACCAGGCTCGGCGTTTGAAGATTTTGTTGAGGTTGTGAATACAGCACAATGTGTATAAACCCATGATGCAAAACCAAATTCAGTTTAAATCTCCAAAACACATGTGAAAGCCTGGCAGGGCCCCTGAGTGTCTGTAAGGCCACAACTGGCCCTGGCACCTCACCGCCCAGCCAGCTTAGCCGAGATGGGAGCTTCAGGATCAGTAAGTGACCCTGTCTCAAACAATAAGGCAGAAAGAGTGACAAAGGAAACACCAGGCTTCCACCCGCAGTTTCCATGTGTGTACACGTGTGTCTATAACAAACATCTACCCACTCAGAGAGACTCTGAAATCTGTCGTTGTGTGCAGAGAACCCCGGTAAATCATTATATTCGGCACAAGCAGGGCTGGATTCAAACCATAATGAGATGGAAGTTTCTGAGGTCCTTTTGATCCACAGCACACTGACCAGTCAAATTCTGCTTGTCCTCCCTTCTGCAGAGCTCTAAAGAACCTGCAGACGTTAGTTATCCTGTCTGCAGTAGCAGGGGAAGTAACAGAGGAAGGGAAAACCGAAGAAGCAAAACTGTACCATAAAATCAACTGACCTTTAAAAGAACTTCGGCTTTAGTGACCCCGTTGATGGAGACAGCACATCTGACGCAGCAGAAGCAGCTTTACTCAGCACGGACACAGAAAACCACCTCCCGATGCTACCCATTCTCTAATCTTTCCACACCGTCCTCTGCGACACTGCTGTCTCAATGAAAGCTCACAGGAAAAAGTCAACGTGATTCAAGCACCATGAACAAATACCACACTTAGCTCTTCTCTGATACCCCCAAATGATCCTCAGGCTTATCATTGTAACCAGGGGGTACCCTAAGGGATAGCTCTAATGAAAAACCAAATACATCTAGTTAATTGCATTGCTCGGGGCTAGTGAGAGACCAGAGGTTTCTGGGGCCCCAGGAGGATGGTCGTATTCATACAGAATGGTGCTACGCATAAGTACAATTCTTGCAAATACCAGATCTGCCTGTCTCTTTGGCTATTCGACGCCGATTTGGATCTCACCTTTGAGGTTCTTCCTACAGAGGAGAGACTCATGCTATCATGTTGCTCTGTCTTGTATTCTAGGTGAAACTGCATTGTAGGCGCTCAGAAGAAGACACGCTAAGTGAAAATCAGCCCACACTAGAAATAGGTCCATTGGTCCACCTGAGTGCTGCAAGTGTGTGTATGCCTGTGTGTCTGTGTGTACATGTATGTGTGAATGCATGTATGTGATAAAATATAATATATACTGTTTATTAAGAAACTAAAGAAGACACTCTTGAGGGTGAAAGTGGGGGATAGAACACTGGAAAAAAAACAGATCACAAAAAGTCCCTGTTGAGACTGCCAGTGCATGGTGAGCACAGAAATTACCCTTGGAGACGGCAAATCCCAACGCTCCGCCACCGGTTGCCCAATAGCTACAACACTCTATTCGATGCTATTGAGTAGTCAAAGACAGGCATGCATTTTAAGGAAATCAGATTGTTAGCACTGCAATTACAGTTGAGCCAGGAGAGGTAGTGGAAGATGGGGAAGGGGTGAATGAGGGGAACTTGCCTCGAGCAGAGAAGGTGGGGACAGTGACTTACGAAATGGGACAGAAAGGTGTACGCACCAAAACTTAGGCAGCTTTTTTGAATAATTGAGCCGAGGATATTGATACTTCATTTCTCTTTAAGAATCCAAGTGTTAATGATTTTAAGTTATAAATAATGCCAATGTGGTACTTTGTTTAGTGTAGTGTTCAAGATCACAGGGCTATTGGTATGTGTGTATCTATGCAGTTATATTAGAGGATTAATAGTCTATTCTGTCTCTGGTTTCCAGGAGGCAGAGGGAGCCACGGTTCTCACTTAAGATGGCTTAAAAGCCTGAAATTCCTAAGTATTTCTGTGTCGAAAGAGAATGTGAAGACATCTTCTTTTAGCCAAATATCCAATCTAATCAATAATAAATTGAGCTAAATAGGAAGAGATCTAAGGACATTTTGGAGAACTATCCACCATTTCTCGGAGCTTCAAACTATTAAAATGAAGCAAACAGACAGCAGTGTGGGTGGAATTAATGGAACCTCCTTGTTGGCTCCTGCAGCCATCATAACAATCAAAACCATGTAGCAACTGGTTTAAAAAATAAATGTTCATTTGATAGCGCGACAAAGATTCACCATAAAAGACAATAAAAGTCAACGAGGCTGTTCCAGAGGGGACTCACCTGTCTTTCCCAGTTTCCTCCTTGAAGACGTCATCACAGTAACTCATCCGCTGCTCCGTGGTCACGTAAATCTGTGCGTCCGGATACTTATCAACTGTCTTTTTCAGCATGTTGTACACAATGCCGTTCCCGTCCTTCCTCATGTTGCGGAAAGGGCCCCAGATAACATAAATGGTGTCGCTCGCCTCCTTGAAGAAATAGTCAGGGTTTTTTAGCAAAAGAGGAACGCTGGTGTGCGATACGACGCGAACCATCGTCACGTGGCCGACATCTTCCTCAAAGCCCTTGGTGGGGGCGTTGTTCATTCTCCAAATGCAGGAAGAGTGGTCTATCTCCTCGCCCACCTTTTGCCCCACCATCTGACCTGAATTGGACACTATGGCGCAGTGGTCACAGTCGAGCTGCAGAGGCTGGAAAAGAGAAAAGGGAAGACTGTCATGGAATGAGTTCTCAAGGAGCCGAAATGTCCCTCACCGCATGATGACTGAGTATGGGATTACCTCCGATACATATCTATCCTGCAGACTCTGCTATGGGTTATCGAGTTGGCAGTGGGCGTTTATTAGAAGAGTAAATACATCCTGTTGGAAAATGATTACTTTCTGTAGCCCTATGCTAGCTTAAAATTATGTGAGAAAACAGCCATTCATGTCCACTCTGAAGGATGAGTTTTATAAATTTAGACCCGTAATTTCAAATGAAATGAGAGAATATGAAACTATTTCTTTTCTATGGTAAGGGTGCTGCCAGAGCTACAGATCGAGGCACGTATGTTGTACTTTGATATGCATGCATATCAAAATATGCAAAAATATTACAGTGATGCCTAAAAATCCCTGAGTCGTTGTATTAATGATCCCTTGAGCCTGAATTGTTTCTAGGTGGACAAGGAAAGGCCTCTCTTGAGAACACGAAAAGGCATGCAAACATCTCAAAAGCCTGGATATCTCTCCATGGAACTATCAGACTCAAAAGCAAAACACTGATGTGGGACTTGTAGTTAATACAAATTCTACTGGTAGAGCCAAGCCCACACCTTCTAAACACGAATCCTCTAAATGAGAACTTCTAAGCCTATGTCTTCTAGGTCTGGCTCTCCTCTGCTTTACATTTATTTATTATTTATTTATGTGTGTGTGTGTGTGTGTGTGTGTGTGTGTGAGAGAGAGAGAGAGAGAGAGAGAGAGAGAGAGAGAGAGAGCATATTCATGTAAATGCCTACAGAGCCAGGAGAGGCAATCAGATCCCCTGGGATAGAATCACAGGCTGTGGACCACCGACATGGATGCTGGGAACCACACTAGGGTCTCCTGCCCGAGCAGTACATGTCCTTAACCTGTAAGCCATCCTTCAGGCCCACTAAGTCGAGATCTTCTAACAGGGCTCTCTGCTCTTAGCATTACTGTTTCCTTGACTCCTAAAATAATCACACACATCACCTTTGCTATTTCTTTCCCATACTGAGAAATCGCTCCATCTTCAAAGCAGCAAAGGAAACACACTTTGGCAAATGTTGCATCTTTCTCATCCACCTTCGATAAGATTGCACCTTTTGATGCTGAATTTGAACCCAGATGTGTTTTTTGCCTACTGAAGAAGAATAGCTTCTCTCATACAGGGTACTGTCCTAATTTCCTCTTGTTGTATCTGCCATCTAGACAGTGAAATCCTGTAAAAAATAATGCCTTTGCCTCTGATTTCAACAGAGGTCCCTGGAATATACTGGTTGCTCAATTTGTTAAATTACAAAATGAAAGAAATGGATTTAAAATAATCTATTAAGTGACTGAACCCTTTTTAAAAAAATACTTCAAGACAAATTTGTGGTACTAAAATATTCTCAGATCTGCCGTCTTTCACTTGAGTAGCCAGGGGCTACACTCTCGGAGGAAACGGTCTTTCCCTTCCCAGAAGCTAACAGCTGCTGAGAGCTCCATTGCTAGGTGAGGATAGGAAAGAGAAGAGGAGCTAGGAAGAATTAGCGAAGCAGGGTGAATATGGTCAAAAAAAAGTAAGAAACTTACTAAGAATTAGAAAAAAAATATGAATTACAAGCTAAATACTAGGGAATAAATGGACTTTCCCAATTAGTTTAGAACCGTTGCAGAGGGAAAGAAAAAAGCAATCAAGGGAAACCACATCAACCCATCAGCAGGCTGAGTGCAGCTATAGCATCTCAGTAAGAAAAATCCTGGGTAACGCAACTCAGAAAACCATCCAGACAAGGACCACACACTTGCAACTGGTCACCTTTCCTGCCAGCAGCCCCTGGCTGTCTACCATACAGCAGGTACAGTTCCAAGAGGACCAACCAAGCTAAGAAATCATACCCAAGAATTCCTGATGATAGGACACCTGCATTTAAGCTGTGCTTCTGTGCATGAACACATCATCTATCAGCATCCTGTATCATGCACTCAAAGGTGATCGGTTCAGAAAACAGAAATGTATACGTCATGGAGGTTTATGCATGTGGAGTTGTACTGGTGCGTGTGTGTGTCTGTGTGTGCACACCTGGGAACAATGGAGAGCCGCCAGAGGCACCACTGAAAAAAGGTATTGAGTGAAGGAAAGGAACTGGCCATAGAGATACCTAGGCAAAAGCCACGGCAGATGCTTTGAGGCTGGAAATGATGAACTGTGTGCTGCAGAAAGCTAATGCAGACAGCAAGTAGGCGTTAGGGTCAGGGAGGCTGCCGTGAATCACGTGGGTCCCTTGACTTCCTGTGCAATGGAGTTCTCTGACAAAGGAGCAGATGACCTGCCCTGAGTTGAACAACCTTGGCTGTTACATGAGAAGTTGGACCACAAGAGCAAAGGGTTGAAACCAGGAAGGCAAGCCACGGCTCCCACCCAGAGAAGAGGGGGAGGGACGGTGGGGTATTCAGAGTGATGGCGAGGGCGTGATGCTGACAACCATGGGCTGTATTCTGGACTGGTCCAGAAACAGAACATGTGAATGTAGATGTGAAAGGGGAAGGAGCCAGGGGTGACGACAGGCTTCCTGCCACGTCTGTGCGAGACTACAGTTGCCTTGACCTAGGATGAAAGGAAGGTGTTTGGAAATAAAACCAGGAAGAGAAACCAGGTGCTTGTTTCCAGAGTGGGCAGGTGGGAGACTCCTGGGGTAAAGAGCGCTCCAATGCATCTCATACCAAAACTATTCAAACTACTTTAAATGTGTGTCTTCCTCTGGGCATCAAAGCAGTATGGGACCACTAGGACGAACTTGAAAAAGGCAGGAAAGAATAAGACTGAAGTTATTCCTGTATCCGTCACTCAGCAGTGACAAGCATCTCACTGCATTTCCCTCTTTCTACATAGGCTACTGCAGGCAGATTGAGAGTCACCAACTGCACAGCTCAGCACCTTTGATTTTCTTCTGTTTTTGAGTTGACCTTCTCCATACCAGTAAATAATCCCTGGAGAGAATTTTAATGTCACTCATTGTTCAGCTATATAGACATGCCGTAATGTATCTATTAGCCTATTGCTGGGCATCCGGCTATTTTCTGATTCATTTCCTACTATAGAAGGTACTTCAAAAAAACATCTCTACATTCTAGAGTATTTTGAAGCCAACAGTTACAGTGTTAACTTAAACTTGTTTCCTTTCATTTCTCGTTACTCCTGTTAACATGCAACATCTGGCGAAGGCATCTGTGTGCATTGTCAAAACTAAGAATTAGAAAAAAACACAACCTTTAGGAGCCACACAGGCCCATTTGTGAGATGCCTTAGAACATTGCAATTGGGGCTGAAGAAATGACTCGGTGGTTCCAAGTATGTCTTGCTCTTGCACAGAGCAGGGACTCAGTGCCCAGCACCACATGGTGACTAACAACCATCTGTAACTCTGGCTCTAGGGGACCCTGTACCTGATTCTGGCCTCTGTGAGCACTCAGCAGGAACACCCTATACTTCCAAAATATATGCATGCACGTATATAATAACAACAAATAGAGCTTTAAAATAAACACCTCTCATCTGGAGGCATGATAATGGATGCCTGCAATTCAAGCACTTGAGAAGTAGAGGCAGGAGGATCATGAGTTCAAGGTCATCCCCAATAATCTAGAGAAGCCAAGGCTAGTCTGGGCTACCTGTTGCACTATTAAACAAACGACTTTGTGATGAAGAAACTGTATATCACCTTGATCAACTGCAGTAAGCAGCTGATAGGCCAAACCCCAGGATAGAAGAGGTCTGCCCAAAGTGGATGAACACATTAGCACACCTCAACACAGGGTTCCTAGCCAGTTCCATCGCAAAGACTTTATTAAATGAAGGCACAACTGAGTGACTTTTAGGGTCAGGCGTTGTCTGCGGCTTTACCTTGTCACGAAGAAGCCTACATTCTTTCAGACAACATGCAAGAATGAAATCTTGTTGGGATTTTGGGTAGGGCTTGACATCTGTTACCCACAGCTGAGTCCTCCAATTTCATCCTGAATCTGGCACACCAGTGCCTATTATTAACCATGCATTACATGGCTTGCTCCGACTCACCACCATCACGCATATGGGCAGCAAGATTACATCCCACTGACCATCCCAACAAGGTCCTTAAGTAGGTCATAAAACCATATTTTGGGGTACAGCGTACACAGAATGAAAAATCAGACATCAAAGCTTTGGATGTGTTCTACAAAATGTGGCAATCTGCATTGGATTTCCCAGCCATTATAATGAATTAGCCAGTTCTGCTGTAACACAGCCTAATTTAGCTAATAAGAACCAGCAGGCTGGTCTCACTTGACAATTGTAACCTTGGAGAGTGATCCATTAAGACATTGCAATCTGTTCCATGACAACGCGGGGAAGCCACAGCTGTGCAGATTAGGTCAGCAGCTGACTGGTGCCAAAGGCCAACAGTGGGGACAACAGTTTGTTGTTTGTGTGAAAAACGTGTAATGGAGAAGATGGCACTCAGTGCAGTGGCTTTGGTTGTGAACGACAGTTCCACTGGCCACTTCTGTTCACTGTCCCCTGAGTGACAGTGTCACCGTGACCAGAGTCTTCAGAGACTCTGGCAGGTGCGTTACTGGCCCCAACCCTGCCTGGCTCTCTGACTTCCTGGGCAAGGCCAGGGACACATGAGCGGACATGCTCAGAACCCTGGTAAGCAGAAGCTTCAGGAACCATTTAAAAGTATGGCAAGAAAGCCAGAGCTGACAGACAAAACCTTCCAAATCGGAATCAGAAACTCCAAGCTCTCAGGAGACTTGGCCGTGTTCCCAGGGATGCAGCCGTGTGTTTGAAGGAACCATCATCAAATTACTATGAGCCATGATCAAAGAAAGAACCTCGGTACACGTGGCTGATCTGGCAAGACCTGCCTCACCCAGTCATCCCCATTTCTTTTATTACCTCTGTCCTGTGTCTTCTAATCTCAGCTTCCTCTGTTAAA